GGTCACTACGAATCTCCTTATTTTTGAAGCTTCACTTGCGTTAACTTATAGCCACCACTTGAACTAAACATTTTGAATTCTATTTCTACACAAAAATACATTAATCATTTATAAACAAATCAATATACATATTTGCTAACTTTAGGTTGTCCGCGTGAAACAATTTAATGTTCATCAATATTATTACAAGAATATAATATATAGAGCTCAAAACCATTGAATTTATAATACATTATACCAACCTTTATAAAAAAAAAAATGTCTCAAGTGTTAGATAGGTACAGGTTATCAGTTATATTAAAAATGTTATTTTCATAAGAATCACCATAAAATAGAATTGGAAAATAGGGGTGATAGGGTGGCACCACTGCAATGAAATACTGGAGATAATCGTTTGGAAAAATCTCTCGATATGTCAGTTTAACTAAAATCATATTATTTCAAACTATTCGTATACTGGTGTGAGACGAAAACTAATACCAAATAAGATGTTCCTACGATTCGTTTAAAAAAATATGAAAACCAAATAATAGAAATTATACTCTTGTAGAAGACGGAAGTAATATACTTAATTATAGTTGTATACACCAGAAGTCCTGTACAGTATATACATTTAATTATTATACCAAAGCAATAAAACAATGGTAGGTAGGTAGTATGCACTATGCATGTACTAAAACATATCATAATATAATATAAACAATACAATTAAAATAGGTAATTACTTAAATAAGAAAGAAAAATTACATTAACATGTAAATTAACGTTAAAATTTGAACTTAATACAATTTAAATAGTTTCAACCTTTTTCAATGGTTTCAATGTTTTATTATTTATTATTTCATAATGACAATAAAAAAAAAAAAACAAAACTAGTAGGTAGTTTTAAAAATAGTATTCAGAACATATGACGTGCCTATCTGTAAAATAAGTGTATACATAAAAGACATTGATTTGTGCTTTGGTGAGATTGTTTGTGTATTGTGTATATGACATAACAACTGATATTAAATAATCGGTTTATTTTACAAATCCACTATGAATTTTTTTTTTTTTTTTATTATAAGGAACAAGGCCTCGACTGCATAGGTCATTGGCCGCGATTAATTTTAACAAACTGATTAATACATTATAGGTAAATACTTAAAAATATGTAGTAAATTATAACAAAGGAAAAGAATAAAAATAATTTAGATTTTTGGTTACAAGGTTTTATGTAAATTAGTGTCTCTTATAAAACTAAGTGTTCTGTTGATATTTAGGGGTTCATTGTTGAGACATACGGAGAGACTGCTGGGAATGTTGTGTTTGGTTCTTTCTTCATTAAATTGGCGGCATTCTAGTAGCAGATGTTTGATGGAGATTTCGGATCCGCAGGTGATGCATGGTTCTAGGTCTGTTTTGTCCATGAGGTGTTTGTGGGTATGCCAGGTGTGTCCAATCCTTAAGCGGGTTAAAATTACTTCTTGTTGTCTTGTTAAATTTGTTGGGTTAATCCATCTATCGGTGGTGGGTTTAATTTCTCTTAACTTGTTGTCCCTCAGTAAATGCCATTCCTTACGCCATAAGTTTGTTATGAAATGTTTGGCTTCTCTTTTAAGGTCATCTTTGGAAAGTGAGTACAATACTTCAATGGTTTGGTCACTGGTTGCTTGTTTTGCCATCATGTCTGCTCTTTCATTCCCTTCAATTCCGGTATGGCTAGGAATCCATGTTAGTGTTATAAGTTTGTTAGTGCTGTTGAGAAGATTGGTAATATTATTAGCTATTTCATTATTTTTAATGGGGTTTTGGATACTTAATAGTGTACTCAGAGAGTCAGTTAGTATATTGAAGGTGTTGTTAGGCATTTCCTTGATTATATGGATTGCTTTTTGGATCGCTAAGGCTTCTGCGGTGAATATGCTGTTTAGAGCAGGTAATCTGAATTTGTGTGCTGAACCATTGATTATTATTGCAAATGCAATGCTGTTTTCGGTTTTGGATGCATCCGTAAAAACTAATACATCATCTTTATTTTGTGTTTTTTCTTTAAAAAGATTCCTAAAAATCTGAGGGGCGGTGTTTCCTTTGTTGCTTTCAGCAAAGCTAAGATCGATTTCAAAATTATTTGGTCTCCAAGGGGGTTTTATCGGAAATTCGGATTTTATTATATGTTTTGGGTTTATACTATGGGCATTAAAAAAGTTTTCTATCCGTTTGCCAATTGGTTTGCTTGTGTTGGTCTCTAGATAATATGCGTTGTTGTTTCTTTTGTCAAATATGGAATTATAGGTCGGGTTGTTTGGATGTGAGGCTATTTTGAATGCGTATTGTAGTTCGAGTAATTTGCGTCTTTTTTCTAGGGATATCTCCCCAGTAATGCAAAGAAGACTTTTGATCGGGCTGCTTTTAAATGCACCTGTTATTAGGCGTAGATTGTTGTTTTGAATTGTCTCGAGTTTTTCTAGGCTTGTTGTTTTTGCACTGCCGTATATGATAGCACCGTATTCTATTTTAGCTCTAATCAGTGTTTTGTAAACATTGTGAAGGATTTTGTTTTGAGCACCCCATTTGTTGTTCGCTAGTAGTTTAATTATGTTGGTGGACTTGGAAGTATTTGTTTTTAAGAATGAAAAATGCTTGTTCCAGTTCAGGTTTTTGTCGAAAATCATTCCAAGAATTTTGATGTCATTGACTATGGGTATAATTACATTGTTGAGTTTAATTTCTGGTTTGGGCGCTTTTTTTGTTTTCTTAGAGAAAACTATGCATTTGGATTTAGTTGGTGAAAATCTGAAACCATTTATTTTGCTCCAATCATTTATTGTATCTACACTAAGCTGGATGTTTTCTAAAATGGATTTATTATTTTTGCCTTTGCAGTGTAAATTTAAATCATCGGCAAATATATTGATTTGTGTGGGCAGTTTTATTATTTTAGTAACTTCATTAATAGCAATTAAGAAAAGTGTAACACTAATGGGGGAACCTTGCACCACTCCATTGACTAGAGTGAATTCATCTGAGAGTGTGTTGTTGACTTTTACAATGAATGATCTATCTGATAGGAAATGTTGAAGATATGCATGGATGTTGCCGTGGATCCCCCAGTGGTATAGAGTTTTGAGTACCTTGTATCGCCATACGGTATCGTAGGCTTTGCATATGTCGAGACATATAAGTACCATACTTTGTTTTGTAGTGAATGTGTCGCGAATTTCAGTTTCGATGTTGGTTAGACAATCGTAGGTACTTCTTTGTTTCCGGAAACCGAATTGTTTTTCCCCAAGTAGATTTTTTTTTTCAAGGTACCAACTGAGTCTGTTATTTATTATTCTTTCTAACAATTTACTTAATGCACAGAGGAGCGATATAGGCCGGTAACCTTCGGTGGTATGTTGATTGTTTGACGATTTTGGGATAGGGATTATTGTTGCTTTCTTCCATTGTTTGGGGAATTTGTTGGTAAGATAGAGGTTATTGAATATTTTTAATATTAAGTTTATTCCTTGGGTAGGTAAGTGTCGTATGAAGTCTATAGGGATATTGTCGGGACCACAACTCTTGCTTTTGGATTTATTGAAACTTAACATTATTTCGCTAATAGTAATTTCATCATTTAATGATCTTAGGTCTTCATCTATGAGTGAGATCGCTTGCGGTGTTTTAAATATATTGTAATCCTCATTGTCTTTTTTATGTTCTAGGAAAAGTGGGTCTAGTGATGAATTATTGCTATTTTCTTCGAACTTACGACCAAGTTCATTTGCTATGTCTATAGATGCCGTTAAATTTTGAGTATCAGTTTGTAAAAATTTTATGTTTTTGTATACTGGTATATTTTTCATTGCTTTAATTTTTCCCCAAACTTCAGATGGGGAAGTAGTGGTTGTTAATGTTTTCGTAAAGTGCTGCCAAGCTAGTTTTTTGCTATCAATAATGGTTCGTTTGGCTATAGCTCTGAGTTTTTTAAAATCAATTAAGTCGAATATATTTTTGGTTTTTTTGAATTTGTTATAGGCTTTTTTTTTGTTCCTAATAGATATGTCACAAGCTTCGTTCCACCAAGGGACCGCGGGTTTTTTCCCTTTGTATCGAGTAATTCTTATTGATTTGGAGGCTGAGGTTAATATAATATTTTCGAGAGTTTCAAGTGTTACTTCAGCATCTTCATTTTCTGGTATATATAATTTATCTAATTCGTAGTCGGTTAATTGAGTGTACAATTCCCAATTTGGGCTTTTAAGATTCCATTTTGGGGGGAGCTCGTAGTGTTCCGCGATATTTCGATATTTAATGTTGATAATGATGGGCCAGTGATCGCTACTATATATTGCTGGTATTACTTTCCATTCGGAATTGCAGCCTATTGACGTAGACGATAGAGATAGGTCGATTGCAGATGTATTGCCTGAAGCTGTGGTAAAGTGTGTGTCATTTCCATCATTTAATAACATAATATTGGGGTTATCTAGAATTGTTTCAATGATACGACCTCTGGTATCGGTGTGTTGAGAGCCCCACAGAATGTTATGGCTATTAAAGTCGCCAAGTAAAAAAAAAGGTGTAGGAAGTTGATTTATTATATCTTGGATATCATTTAGGTTGAAATTAGTGAGGTTAGGTAAATAGATGTTACATATTGTTACATTTTCTTTGGTTTTTAATCTGATTGCAATTACTTCCAGTTGGGATATTATTGGTATTTCTTGTGCTGGGTACGAAGTGTCCGTAAAAATGGCAACTCCCCCACTGGCCCTGCTGCAGTCGTTTCGATTTTTGGTAAAGGCTTGGTAGCCTTTGATGTTAGGCAATGACTTATGTGTGAAGTTGGTTTCTTGTAAGCAAATAATATTGATGTTTTGTGTGTTGATTAAAATTTGGATTTCGTTGAGTCTATTGTAGAAACCATTTACATTCCATTGAAGGATGTTAATATTTGAGTTGTTTGTTGAAAAATTATTAAATGTATTTTTACTATTCATTTTTAATTTTTTGACAATTTTTTGTGGGTTGTTTTAGTTTTGTGTGTTTGGCTTCAGCTGTTTGTCTAGATATTTGTTGAATAGTTCGTTGTGCAGACGAGTAAAACGTATTTTACTACTATTAGATTGAAGTTTAGGTCTGACTTTTTCAATTAAATCTATCATGGCTTTTAATGAAATGTTGTACTGTTCAAATATAAAATCTGGATCTGGATTGATTTGTACCTTTTCGATTATATCTCTGAATTGTGGGTAATTAATTGGCAATTCCTTATTATTGTCAAAAAAACTTTTAATTGGTAATAAATGTGTATCAATGTTTTCTACGAAGTTTTCAGTCGCGGGAGTTAATTTTGTTTTTTTTGTAGGGTTAGTTTTCTGTGTTTTGGTTTTGGTTTGATTTGGTGCGGGGGTCACCTTGTTTGATATTGTTGAGGCCGACAATGTGGGCGATTGTGTTGAGGCTGATCTTTTAGTATTTGGAGGTGGTTTTGTCTCAATTTGTTGAACTTTATCATCGGTTTGAGACTGGTCCATTGGTTCATAAAAATCAATTTCCGACTCTAGATGTATGGGTGTTTTAGGTTCAGTTTCATCTAACTCTATCTGTGTTTGGGAATTTGGCAGTGGGCTAATAATGTTTGTATCAGTGGGTTTGAGTTCATTTGCTTTGGGACAATTGTTTGAAGTATGTCCGATTTTTTTGCATAAAAAACAGGTTAATTCGTCATTAGACAGAAATACCCTATAGTTTGCGTTTTCAAAGTTGATCAGTATAGAGCTAGGTATTTTGTTTTCGTCTTCGGGAGATATATACATTTGGCGTCTAAAACTAAGTATGTGTGTAAGACCTTCGATGTGAATACCTGCACGTAGAAATGATATAGGACTGGTGGGTGTTATGTTGTGTTCTTTAAGTGCTTCTATTATTATTGCGTGTGGTATATTGGGGTATACATTTGCAAGGATGATTCTTTTATCCGGATTGTATAGTTTTCTTAATTTAATATTTTGGCCTTGCACAACTAAATTTTCGTTGTCTTGAATTAGTTTGTTCGCTAGGTCTTTTGTCGATAAAAAGATACACATTCGTTTTTTAGATATTTTGGACACGAAAATAATATTTTCTGGTTTGGTTATTTTTCCTATTTCGATAATGTAATCTTTTAATTGTATTTCTTCGTTTTCTATATCAAATATAATGGCCTGATCTTTTTTTGGAAAAGGATTAGGATTTAACGATTCTGCGAAAGTTTTTTTTTGGGTTGCAATGTTTTGTTGTGGTAGATTGTTATCCATATTTTTTGAGGTGTCAGAGATAAGATTTTCGGTAGATTGGTTTGGTGAAGGTGGCATGTTTGATTTAGGTTTAGATATTTTGTTTTGTATAGACATTTTATGTTGGGTTGAATTGGAAGTTGATTCACCGCACGACGACGGTGTTTTAATTGTTTTGTTCATTAATTTAGTAAGATATAGGTATATGTGTATATAAAATTACATATTACCTGCGATAAGTGTCGACCTTGATGTTATATAACGTGCTAACGACAGCTATAAAGCGATAACGGATACAAAGGTAACACACGTGCTGCTTGGACGATAGCGGGACACGAATATTTCTGTATGAAATAGGTAAGTAATACACTAATACATAATATACTATTGTTAACTGAGTTAGTCTTAATGGTTAAAATGTTTTTTTTTTTATCTTATAGACTGAATTTACGTCTGAACTGCTCATCTAGAAAAAAAAACTCTCTACAGTGAACAAATTAAAACTAAAGTTGTGATCTGCAGGATGACACGTCATGCTGCTCGCGGACGAATCATTCACGAAGTCTCGATAATTATACTAATAATTTAATCCCTCGTCCCCAAACCCCTATATCACGTATAATAAAATAAAAAATAATAGATTAAAAAAGGGTTTGCGAATAATATTCTAAGCTTAATTTTTGATAATATTTCACTTCGACGTAATAACAATAATAATAATAATAATAATAATAATAATACGTTTACGGGTTTACCCGTTTAAAAATCGTTACAGACGTGGTCGCCCACATCGTATCGTAACGACGTGCTGCCGGTCTCTTTACAAAATTATTATACGACACGCTCTGTAGCGTTTATCGACCACCATGGTGTATGGTGTATGGTGTTCGCAATAACACACGATATTGTATTATTATAATAATATATAAAACTGCGGTGTCGGCGGTGATATCGGAAACGGGATGTCGGTTAAAATTCAGCCATATTATACAGTATACTGCTGCTCGAACACGTCGCACAGAGCACAATACAGGCCGACCAGCGGCGGCGGTGGCGTAGTCGTCGGGCGAGTGAAGATATTATATTATTATGTTGTATTATTATTAAAATCGCGCGTGGCAGTCGGTAAAGTCGACCCGACGTGCGTGAGGGTGAGTATGGGTGGGATGGCGGGTCGCGGGTGGGTGCACTCCGATATAGGACCGGCGTCTGTGTGTACAACAATACTTTTACGCGTTATAATACGGCGGCAGGAACGACGTACGTGACCGTCAGCAGTCGGCCCATAATAAATTCTGGTCGCCGCCAGAGCCCCGCCGTATGGTAGCTCTACGGCAGTGGCGGCAGCTGGGGGGGCTCCTGGACCGGGAAAAAACCCCGGGGGACCCGCACACCACTCGTTTATTATACGAAATGTTGTGTGCTTAAAAATCTACTACGGCGGCACGTGAAAACTTTGGGGCGCGTGTGCGCTCGCATCGGCGGCGGCCCACCGGTCCTGCGGGCCAACGGGTGGCTCGAGAAATTAATATTCGAACCAAAGACTGGGAGACGGTGTGCGTCTGCTACTCCTGCCGCCGCCGCCGCCGCTGTCCTACGTGGGCGACCCGAACGAAACTACCCGTCGCCACAAATCGCGCCTTGTTGTTAGCCGGTAACGTGGTAGGTAGTGACGGTTAGTACGGTGTCGGGTGGTTACCCCTATACCAGGGTTCGCGGATACGCTGTCTTATACGCACCGCACCCGTTGTAATAAATTATTTACATACACGATAATAATAATATTACAATGACAATTATTATTAATTTAAAGATGTATTAGTACACATGTAAGCGACGAGATCTCGTTCATAAAGTAATTGGGTGCTCTTAGTGAAAAGACCCCCTCCCACATCAAAAGAAGGGTGAGTAAAGGCTTTAACCATCCGTTCTTATAATTATAGTGATATGGTCACTAACATTTACCTTTATAACACTGACCACAGCAGTTTGTTATTGATAGTTAGAACATCGGAATTCAAGGTAAACTGAATTAATTATCATTTTTACCAGTGGTACAAAACAATGTAATGTGTAAATCTGGAGAAATGATTTAAGAGCTGATTTAGCATACATAAAAATAATTTCAGCCATGTAGAGTCCCCAGAAGTCATCAAAACTAAATATATTTATTTTGTCGTCTTCTCTGATTGATCCTATAACAATTATACTATTTTAACACATAATACATCTAACATATTTAAAAATTTAAAACGTGTTAGTGGTATAACACTATTACCTATTAATATATGTATAATATTATATTGATCGATGTCAATAATCATATTGTGATAGGTATAACGATAAAATAACTAGCCCTTTCACTACCACACTATTTGTGCACTGCAACCTGTGTATTCTACGTGAAATAAAATATTTTTATTTTTTACTATGTGATTTATATTATGATTAAATTGTTCATGTTTAAAACAATGAGGGGCAAAGTTGTGCGGATACCGTCAAATGAGAATAGTATAAAATACAAGAACGTAATAGTACGTCTGGAACCGTGAATGGTGTAAATGTTTTGGATGTAATAGCGTAAAAAACTATACTTAGTACAGCGTATGTCTGAAGTAATGAAACTATACTAGATAATACCTTATAGTTGTATAAGTTACTAAGCCAAAAAACATGCAACCAATATTATCATCATTGTCTCAATAGGGATTTTTTTAAAAACCATTAAAAACGGGTTTTTTTCAAGGCTGGGCATTAACGAGTTAAAACGTTAAAGTTAAGTTAAAAAGTTAATTTAATTTTAACTTTTTAACTAAACTAGTTACTTTTGGCTTGTCATCAACTTAACTGTTAACTTACTAAACTTATTTTTGCATGGGCGTGAAGTTAACAAGTTAATTTTTCATTTTAAGTAATAAGTTATGTTAATTTATTTTGTTTTTAATTTAATTATATTTCACTATTTCAGTCTATTTCTTTTTCATGTTTAAAAATATGTATCGTAAATTGTTTTAAGTTAAAAATGTATACCATTCGAATCTAACTTATATGGAAATACTGTACAAACTACAAAGTATAAACACTCTATAGTCTATAATTTAGTTTTGGGTTGGAAAAAAAATTAAGTATGCTAGCTTTGTATAAACAAATTAACTTTTTTTGAACTTAATAAAAAGTTAACAAAAAGTTTGTATTAACTTTTAACTTAACTGAGTTAACCTGTAGTTAATTTAACTTTTTGTTATGGGTGCATATTAACTTAACTGAGTTAAAAAAAAAATCATTAACTTGCCAGCCTTGGTTTTTTTTGGTCGAAAAACCGGGTGTCGACGAATTGGATGTCGACGAACTGGGAACAAACCCAGCACCCAGGAACCCACCTACATAGCCCCTATGGGTACACTAACTTATATTATTATCGAGCAAAAGTAAACGGCTCTTATGAGATACCCCTTTATTGTACACGCTCTATACTCGTTTATTATACAAAATGTTGGTGTGTGTTTATAAATCCACGGCAACCATTAGTCCTGCGGGCCACAGGGTGGCACGAGAAATTTATGCCAAACCAAATACCTGGCGGCGGCGGGAGACTGTGTGCAACTACTACTGCCGCCGCCCGCCGCTGTCTTACGAGCGACCCGAATGGAACTATCATGCAATGTGGTTAGATAACGTGGTTAGTCGGGTATGCCCACTCACCTACGGTGTCTTACACGCACCGATAAGAATATAATGACAATTATTATTATTATAAAGACATACAGATACACCTATTTTAACTAAATTATTATTATCGGTCAAAAGTAATTAAAATTTCATTTGAGATATCGCCTTGTATACACACGCTGTACTCGAACGATTTCAGTCAAATAAAATCTAAAATATTCTAGAATCTTGATCGTACATACCTACTCAACCCAAGTTTTTTTTATACTTTATGACCACATACTTGATATTATAGTTACGATAAGCGTACCACTACATAATTGTATTGTCGAGGTGACTAATGAAAGGATAGGGTGAATCAGAAAATATGAAAATAAAATTATGGTTTCATTTCTACATAAATACATAATATAAAATGAAAACAAATCTATGATTTAATGTACATATAGATAATGAAAATTATAATTAATATTAGAATAATTAAATATCATTTTAAAATGTATGTGATTTTTGATTTTGAGCATAATATGTTTGGGCCACATAAAAGGTTGGAGAGAGACGCTGCAAGACGAGTGGCTGTTCTAGACTATGACAATTATTTTTGGATTAAGACCAATATGATTCTGCGTCATTATGCTATCGTCTTACACAATCTTTTCGTATGAGCTTATTCAAAATAATTTATAAAACTACATTAGGACACAATAAACACACATACTATTATAGCCTTAATTTATTCACTTTAACATCTATGTAGCTATATTGCCTATACATTACGCCGTCTTACGCAAGATTGAAAAAAAATAAAGTTGAGAACTCAACTCGTATTGTAATGGTGTTAAGTTATTACGATTATTATTACTTTAAATCAATTATAAATCTTCTGGTTTTAAAACTATATAAAACTTTATTTGTAAAGGAAATTTTCCGCAGCAACACAATATTGCCACATACAAAATTTGGGAGGGAAATTGTTCACGGTAGTCTCGAAAACAAAAATTCTAACCATCTAAAGAGTCATTTTAATTAATAATTAATCTACGAAATAATTGAAGTTGGTAAAGCAACGAACGAATTGTTTATTAATTTAAACTACAAACAATTTAGACAAATTAACAGTGATTTACTAGTGAGGGATATACAATTAAATCAATACAAACGAAAACATTTAAAAAAAATGCTTTTTGTAGATTTATATCGGAATTAAAATATTTTGTAAGTATCAGCGCAGTTTATTATTATTATACAGCTGTGTTTAATGGCATAGGGTATGACTTAACATCTGCACGTACGCATATATTTAAATGCATAAGTTGATTGTAATTAAGTTTAAAATAGTGTAAAAATAAATACATAACTTTTTTTATCTAAATTATAATACAGATACAATACCTAATATAATGGAATTGATAACTGACGATAAAAACATAGTACGTATAGTAGCGTTAATACCTACATAAAAACATAGTAAATTATGGTAAAAAGCAATAAGATGATGTTATCTTTAACAGATGACCACGTTATTTTGAATTCGTTGATGAAAATAATACACTTCGACCTGTTGCGAAACATCATGGTGGATAAAAATGTGCGTCATGTATGTTTGAGCTAATAATCATGTGTTCCACGCACTTATATTATACTATTATAGATACCTATATTATTTAAATTTTTCTTATAACCATAAAGTTAAATAAAATATCGAAATTGATATGTAATACAATAAATTATTGCTATCCTATTAAGATAATTTTGTTCATGCACATAAATCCACAAGAAAATAATTTCTCTTTTTTTATTCTCAAATAACTCATGTATTTTTGCCGTTTCTTAATCTACAGTATATTCAGAAAGATTTGATTAAAATATTGAACCCAAAAATGTTTATAATCAACGACAAACTAAACTGATAATAGAACTAAAAAGTTTAAATCATGACTACAAGTTTGAATAAATATAAGAGAAAGGATTTCCCAAAGAAAAACTGAAAAGCATATGTTAATACTAACAGGTACAACTGTGGTTGGGTAAACTTTTGTAGGATCGGAAAAAATATGTAAATACGTAATATTTGATCATTGATTTTCAAAAACGAAATATTATATTTTTCTATTTTTTGTTAACAATATTATGGATAATTTAACAAAACATAAAAATACAATGTAAAATAGTGTTGTGCTTATTTCTTTAGTGAAAACTTCAAATAAAAATAATTTATTTAATCCCAGTGAATTGTGTACATTTGTTTATTGAAAAAACTTTCTGATTATTTCAATTTACTATATAAATTAATAAAAACAATCTTTATTCAATTAACTATCACTTATTTTATATAATATGACTATTAGATAAATTACATTGTCTCAAAAAATTCCTACCTATTAAAAACCCATTAAATACATATCTATTAAATTATCTTGTTTTAATTTTGATAAGTTTATCTAAGAAATTATATTTTACGACGATCAGTTATTAGAGATTTTTATCATTTTTATTTTTAAAATACAATTGTCTTTATGTAGTTGTAACGAAACAATTGTTTTGATTAGTTTTTGTAATGACTATTCTACAATGCATTCTGTACAATGCACACGTTGTCTTTAAGGCTTAACATGACAAAGTAAACAACTAAATATTAAAAAAAAAAGAGGTTACTTCATAGGAGATAAATTAGAGTAAAATATAATATTATATACATTCCATGAATTTAATCGAAAATTGATTGTATTTATTATAAACGAAAGACATAAATGTACCTGGCACTTATACTAAAATTATTAAAACTATTTAAAGTTTATTTGTTTCTTATTAACAATGTAAAAATGGTGGGCAATTGGGTGTCAATTTGCTGTATAGTAGGTTACAATTATTATTAATACAGTAACCGGAAAGTTGAATTAATTATAGTATAAAATTACAACAAAATAACCAAAACCGTTATTATTTATTAATTATTATGTAATTTATAAAATGACTATGAAAAAAACTATATTTTTTTATTTTTGGGATTTATTGGTTACAGAATAACCTAACTGTTTTAAATGTTCAATCCTTAGCTTTAAAAGTTGAATATTTTATAAATTTTCAACTAAAAAATCATTTTTAAATTATAAATTTGGTAAGTGTTGTAAAAAATAGAAATTTAAATGCTTATAAAAAAAAATTGTGCCATGTTTTTTTTAAAATTTTTCAACTACTTTTGCAAAAATATTTCAGGAGCCATGTATTAATTTTGAATATTTTAAAAATGTTATCCTGTATACTGTATAGATTATCTAATCTTTAGAAAATGGTAATATAAACTTTCAGTGAAAATGTATTGCTTCTAAGGTAATATTTTTGTAAAAACCAAAATCGACTGTCGAAGACCGAAAACGTAAAAATTCTTGTTTTTCTTAAATTTTTATTTTGTGTTTTCCGGTGCTTTGAAAAACTACTGGGAATTTTTACTTTTGACCCCACAAAGTACCAACTAGATTTGCTTTTCTATCAGAAAATATACTGTTGCAGAAAATCCAAGCATTTTTACTGTTCTAAAAGGTGATGACAGGCACAAATATGAAAAATTTAATAATTAAATCAAAAAAATAAAACACACATCATTGTAAAATCAATACATTCATTGCTCCGCTCAGAATCTAAAATCGAAAATGTCAATAAAATCCGTAAGCAGCTCAAGATATTTTTAAAATAGTATCTACTTGATTCACTTTCCCATCAAACAAGACACTGAAGTCGAAAATCGAAGCATTATTTTAACAACTCATCGTATACTTTACATAGACACAAATAAATTAAATAAAAAAAAAAACACACACATCATTACATAATTACATCATCTCACAAATCAATACATTCATCACTTGGAATTTAGAATGAAGTTAGTACTATTTAAAACCATACTAATATATTATTATATTTTGTATCATACAATTTCTGACTTAACAATTATTGTGTCTAATATTTTAATATTCGCTAATCTTCTACACTCAGACTAGGTAATGGTTATGTAAATATTCGAATTTGTATTACTTAAGTCGATCATCAAATACCTGCTGTATTTGTCGATTATCGAATAGTCTCAATAAATAATATTAATTAAATGTACAACTGAAAACATCTGTCACTCTCATTAATCTTGTTTTATCACTGGATTCGTTGCAGATTATACTCAACTATTTTTTCATTAATTGTAATGTTAATCAGCATAATACTGAATAATATCAAATACAGAGGAGATAACTGCTAACGACCCAAGTATTCAATTTCACCATGTAATTATTGTTCCCCTTGAATAACGTTTATTTTTATTCGGATAATTTTAATTTATTTTGATAATTAAAAGTAAATAATATTATTTAGGTTGCCTTTTTAAAAATTAATCTCAAAACCACAGTTGAAAATTAATTTAATAAAATATCGTTATAACTTAGTTTCCTCAATCACATTTTAATAAATTAACTATTACCGTTGCAATGCAATAACATTTTAATATTACACATTAACTTAAACAGTATTATAGGAAAATTGTTTTATAGAATATGATATTATATTACCTACCTATTTATTAATTGATTAATTTGTTCGTTTACAAAAATTGAATAAACTATTGAAAGTGTATATGCATTATTTGTAGGATTTAAATTCGGTTCCTAGGTATATAATATTACATAGGTTAAACCATAATGCTTCATTCTATAAACTATATAATATCTCATACAAGGATCGATAAGAGTCATGTGTATTATAAGTACACAACTAATGTGGGAGGGGGTGTAATTTTTTTTTACAAAACCTCACTACCAAAAAAGTCTTAGCAAACGAAAATAAATAATAACTATATCTTTAATGTTGGATATTAAAGTTAACAGTATTTTGGGAAAATTGTATTATAAAATATACATACCTATATCAATTTATCAACGTTTTCATATACGAAAATTGAAAATAAACCGTTATAAAGTGTTGATCATAATTCTGAGGATTTCAATTCAGTATCAGCTATAGGTATATACTATATAGGTTAAACCATACTGCATACTGTAAACTGCATAAAAATATATATTATCTATCACGTGGATCGATAAGAGTATTTATGTGGACAGGTACACAACTAATATTCGGGGAGTGGTTATATATTTTTTTTTTTTACACAAACCCTCACGACCAAAAAAGTCCTAGCAACGAAACACTTTGATAAGATCTTAGAATAACGTGGCCAACATCCTACCTTTGCCATTGCCACAGCGGGAAACGTATCCCAAATCAATTGCTCCTCTTCACCTTGGTTGCCCCGTCTCTGTCCTTTGAATATCCTCGATGCGGTCAACGTAGACGCGCCCCATCCATCGCCTACTAAAAACACCACGTTTTTCGCTCTTCCCATTTTACCCTCGAAGCTGGCCAACCGTTTTTTCAACGCGGATCGGGCCTCTTCGTACCAATGGTCGCGATCTGAAAAAAAAATAATAGTTTATATCATCAGTAAAATATTCAGCTAGCTGTTAGGTACATAGGTATTACACTGTAAATTAATAAATTTAAACCGGATTAAAACTATAAACTATAATTGACGGCACTCGAGTCCTAGTACTCATTATTTTTTTTACTATACAGGGTGATTATTTATCACGAACCACTCATTATATCAAAAAGTAAGTTTATAAGTTATAAGTATTTAGAGTTTAGTTGATCGGTGTAGAGTGGTACTCAGACACCGGGACACCCTTCAAAATGCTGGTCCACTACTCCGTTCATCCATACTTTAAAGACTATTATAACTCGACTACTCGTCGTAAAGAAAATTATTCTGTTTTAGAATATTAAATTAAAACTGTATGTTGTCAATCAAAAAAAAACTTAATATATTATAAAGATAATCAAGATTAAAAAAATATATTTTAAAAAAAATGTGATTTTTTAATGACTAGAAACCATGGGAAATCTTTTTTTTATAACATCAATATTTTTTTTAAATAATGAGTGGTTTATGATAAAATAATCACCTATGCAATAATCAGAGTTGGTGTATTTTTTCATTTTTAAAAACTTTATTTTTTAGTTTAAAACAAAAAATACAATTTTTTTTTAAAAAAACAACACAATATTCACTTGGATTTTACACTGTTTTAAACATATGTTTCTTTCGTTTTAAACAATTGACAAAACGTTTAAAACAAGTTGTTTAAACATAACAACCCTGGCAATAATACTGTGTTTTTAATACAAAACGCTATTTTTTTAATGTTTCAGAAATTATCTACTAAATTATTAACTCGTATATTTAGGTTCATAATACTTTGTTCATAACACAGTAACATAAGGAATTGATAAATTTGTGGTATGTAGTAGATCAATTTAAGTAATACAATTTATTCGTTTTTAATTGAAAATCTTAAGACAATCGAGTTTATAATGACATATTGTTGAATATTATAATCAGGACAATTTACCCAGTTGGTATATTATATTTATAAGACTTTAAATGTGTATATTTAATGTAAATATTTATAGTTTGAAGTCTTTGGGATTTTTAATTACTGCTGATGTGTTCAAAGGAGAAGAATTTTAGGTACTTCGTTAGTCAGAAAATATTGACAATGTAATTATAAGGATATCGACTATCCCGAAGGTAGAATATTTTTCGTGTTATTCCAAAAACCACTCAATTTATCATATTATTCTATTATATTTAACCATGATATAATCCACAAGAAGCTTTTAAGTTGTATTTAGTGATTGATAGAATATAGAGTGAATCGAATTTCAGATTATTTATATGGTAAAAATTATATTATGTGTAAATAGAATTCAAGTAAACAATAGTACATTTCTATTTTAATTAATTTTCACAAAATTATGTGAATAGTTTATTTAGACCTTAAAATAGCAATTACTATAATTTAGACCATTTTTTACTCAAACTTATCCACTTATAATAGTTATACAAGTTTATTTTTCAATTATTCGTTGCTAGTAACTATAATATCATTGTGTGTTGTCGCAGCAAAGTTTGAATATACTGAGTAATATAATAGATACATTCCGATAACTTTTCGCATAAAACACAAAGATCTAACAGAAATACAATCCGATGGCACGTTTGTCAGAAATATTATAACAGGTACCTATAGGTTTTGATATAATTTGATATTACCATGATAATCATAATAAAAAAATATAATAATATTCAGAAAATGACAATTAAATTATGTAGGTACCTAATAATATTGGAATATTTTTCAAACAATATTTGCCGGGCGCTAAAACTTTTTGCAAGGACACGATATCATTTATCACCCCTAAAACGGAATACATATATAGAGGTCTGGGTATATAGTTATCTTAAATGAATCTAACCCCAGGGAACGTTTTGGAGAATATATACAAACGAAATCGATACATAAAACCGCTTCGCGTTAATGGTACGTAGTTGACCAGCAAGACGGGTAGAACGAAAATAAACAAAAAACGATTTGAAATTGACGAAATTGCAGCCACGCGTTATATATAATATTATATGTTTGGTTGTTTGATACCTACCTACCTATTTCGATATAAATTATTGTGCTCGATGTAGGATACAACTTACTATATTGGTAATTGGTATACTATAGCTTGTTTTTTCGCCATATCTATAATATAATATGATATTATCAGAGAATGTTTAAAATACGTATTATTGAACACTGCGAATTGGGAGAGGCATATATTGCCATCATAACTATTCGATATGACGTCATCGTATAGTTTATACATTTATAAAGTATACTCGAGTTTATATTGGGGTGCATCAGTTGCGTGTGATTTCGTTGTCCCAATAATACGAAATGAGAAAAAAAGAAACATATCAGTTTGTTGGTGGTTAGTTACTGATTTATCAGTACATAGTTTCTTTATTACAGAATAATATTTTAATAACATTATTAATAATAATATGTAATACATATTATAATATAATACATCATATTATGTAATTTAAATATAAAATTGTAATGATTTTTAATACAAAAAGAAAGATAAGTACATACCTGACGACAAATTTATAAAAAAAATTACATTTAAATTAATTTTTGAAAACAAAAAAGTGTTCAATGGTATCTATTTTGTTTATTACTTTTTACTGATAGTTGACGAATATAATAATATAGTCTAAACAAAGCACTTACGGGGCTATATAATATATAGGAAAAATGTCCTAATTATCCGGTTTGTGGTCCAGATAAACGGTGAACATTTAAAAAAAAACATACTTCTATTTTGGTAATTGAAGAATTTTAACGATTAAGCGGTATCTCTATTAAGCGGAGACTACTCTGCAATGCAAAGCAAAAGTGACGTTTAAACCAATATATTAGTTTGGAGAAAAATGATTGTTTTTTTTATTATTCATTTAAATATAGGTACCTAGGTTAGGTAGCTACCTTTATTAAACATGATATCCACCTGTATAGTTTTTTGAATGCAATAACGCAGTAATAAAAAAGGATTATTCGCTTGTTGTGTGAATAAAAATTACTTTTATGTTGTTATTTTGCGATGTGAGCCCTAAATACATATTAAAAGCAAAACAAATAATATATTAAATTGGTTAGGATAATTATAAGAACTCTTTCACAATCATAAATAATGTCTACAGAAAAAAAACCATCATCACATATTTACTTGCTGCATATAAATAAAAAAACGTACATAAACTTAATACTCGTGGAGTAATTTGATAGCACGTTTTGAGTGAAGGTTTTTATTTATTCAGTAAAATCATATTTTATCAGTAAGTTAAAAATAAAAAAAAGATTTCTAAAAGTCGTACAATTTAATTGATATTGAAGTGATTAAAAATATGTTTATCTTACCTACTTTAATTCAACTATACTCTATAGCATAAGCACAGATATATATAATAACTAGATACCCGACTTCTTCTTATCATTGACGCTGGCAGCCATTTGCAACTTTGGCAATGTTTACTAATCTTTAAAAAGGTAATATTATAATAAACAACAACATATTTTCATATCAAACAAGCCCGTAGCCAATCAAAACGATTAGAATTTGTAAACATTGCCAAAGTCACAAATGGCGTCGGGCATCATAATTTAATAATGTTGTTATATAAGGAGTCGGGTATCTAGTTATTATATATCTGTGAGTATAAGTGACGTACAAACTTTTTTAAGATAAATGCGTGTTTTGTACTTTTCATTTAAATATACACCTTTGTTTGTTATTATATTTGAAATAGTAAAACATAATTTTCACATTTTTAGATTTTTTTTACGACGAATGCAATGAAATAATAATAAATTCACTTATTACATGTATAATGGTTAATTTTATGTTTTTAATTGTAGTGGTATGAGCGGTACCTAACATACATCTTCTATTTACCTATTTAATAAGGAAAAGTTACATGCCTAGAAAAACACGGAAATGTTTAGCGAAAACACTGTATCCATAAATAAGCTTCTAACTATAATATTAAAATAAATAAAAAGTATAGCTTATAGTTTTACACAGGTAGTTTTAATTTTTAACCTACATATATACATTTTCGGTGTTTATGATAAGTAAATGTAAGATATGGAGTTGTTACTTAATACTACTCATTATTTTTTTTTTGTTACTTACGACATTGCCAAAGAACAATGATTGTGTTTATAGCCTATATAAATGTAATGTCAAGGGTATTTTTTTCAAAAGAAAATTTGTAAAATTGGTTTACCTATCAGATGCCATATAATACCTAACAATTTAAAAAAAAAAATTGTTTTGAGTTATAGCACTTTTCCTCAGCGGGGAAACTGTATATGCCGGTCGAAAACAAAGAACACAGAGCGCATATATAAATAGTTATTCGTCGTACAGTGTAATGTGTTGTAAGAAATGAAAATGGGGTGCTTGCGAACAAAGTCTCGTACCATTTGTTCCGGATTGTCTAAGTGTGATTATCATATTATCTCTGTACCATGGCGGTAACATATTAATATACCGTGGCGAAATACAAATAATTAATGCAACCTAGTTACGTTGTACCTATATTGTTTCCCGTTTACAATGATTTCATGGAAGTACATTTAGACAATGCATAGAGTATTAGGTAGATAATATGAAATGATATGTACCTACACAGCTAGGATCTGTTAGACGTACGAAATAATAACATTGTGAAAGATGATATTTTTTTTAAACTCAAGGGTAAGCTCGAGTTGAAATTAAAAAAAAAATGTCTAAACGGACATGATTTAATACCCCTCGTTTTGGTGTATTCGTCACTATACACACCGGTGATAATAAGACGAATGAAATCGGTCCGTTAACAAAGAAAATATATAAATAAATAAAAACGTGCTTTATAGTTACAAAAATTCGGTTTAATCCGAATTTAAATTAAATTATATAATTGTTTTGGACATAAAAAAATTCAAAAGAAAAAGATTTAAAATAATAATACT